TTCCCGTTTCTTTTCCACAGAGTGGTACTTATTTATCAACCTTGGAAAAAAGGAAGGCGGAAGGCCCATGAAGGGGGCTTGAACTCAGAACCTATTGGTTATGAGCTCGACGTTATACAGACTGAACAACCCCAGTATACAGGTTGTTTTACGGATTTGCGTCATCAACATGCTTCACATAATGATAAGCGTTTCTGTTTTCAGAAACCTAACCCTACCCAGTCTTCAAGATGCGTGGCATTTGCCTATACCGGCCGAACTGATGAATCGACAGGATGGCATTGAAAAGGTAGTCGCCCAAATGAAGGTTAGCCTCGATAATTTACTTTACTTTATAGCACAAGATCAGCATGTATGGCAGAGGCAGTTTGATTGGAATAGGACTTGTGGATGTAAGTCGATTCGTTCGATCGGTCGTGTGCTATTGCGGAGGGAGCGCCGGAGTGTAATGCATTGTTTTGCGTTTCAGGTCGACGATACAAAGCAGCATTTGCTGTTATCGCCGCAGCAGATTCAGCTGTTGCACATTTTGCAGCAGAATCAGGTTGGTCGTTATGTATGGCTAGCGCATTGCGAACTTTGTTGATCGGTTGCTTTTTTTTGTGCAGGCGCATCTGAACGCACAGCAATTGCAGACCTTACGCCACTTGCAGGAGACGTACGCGATTTTGCAGCAGGGCGGTGGCAAAATGCCGCAGCGTGTAGTCGAGGTTCGTGCACTGATATATCATTATCAGAGTAAGGGTTACGGTCTTGTATGAGATTTTGTTTAAGACACAGAACAGCAATCCAGTCACCGAAGCGGTTCCACGCGAAGCGCCGCCGCCGCCACCACCACCACCTCCGCCGCCGCTTCTGCCAGCAGCAATAGCCAGCACATCGGAGCTGAGCTTGAGGACTTCCCCTTTGTCCGAGCTTCCGCAAGTTACGCAGGAAGATTTGCAAGCTTTCCTCGGAATCACCGGCGATCAGGATGATCTCTCCAATGGTCTGACGGATCAGGACGGTCGACAGAAGTTACGAGAGCCGAAATCGGACCCGATGCTTGCTGCCGGTCCGCTGTTTCCTGTGAGCCTTACCGCGCAAGAAAAGCTGATCCCGTCTCAGGTGGCCCGCCATTACGAATGCCTCTGTTACAATACAATCACCTCGAATTGATTTGTTGTCGTTCGTCATAGTTTTTCCCTTTTTCAGCATGATACGCGCGCCCATATCGATCTTCTTCTTTTTTAATCATTAACTGAGTTAGATAATGCATAACTTCTCCAAGGCCAGATTTCACTACTTTCCGCGTTCTTCTAGTTACTTAGGAGAGAGGGGGCTATTTAAGCAAGCTGCAGCTCTATGGCATTTGGACACCTGATGTGCCAAGTGCATTTCGTGTCATTTTGTTCGCTGGAAAAAAACTCGAGCTCATTAAGAATGTTGCTTCACAGTTTGGTACTCCTTACAACCCTGGTAGCAAGAAAGGTGCAGTAAGCCGTTAACTGTATCGTTAAAAAGACAGTCTCTCGACCGTTTTGTTTGTCTAGTTTTCTTACCACAGACGTTCCTGCCCACATATCTTGACAATGATGA